CATGATTAGAAATAAAGTAGCAAAGTTGAGGGGGACTTTTATTCTGGGGGGAAATGGCAAACCGTGTCAGACTCAACAAGCACAGGCTGTACAGGGGGCGGGAGCTATGCTCACACTGTGCCCTATGAGGAAACCACGTCATCTTTGCTAATACTCCTGGGCACATGAGTAACATTCTCCACCAACTGTGTTATTCTCAAAAAATACTGTGACATATAATAAAGGCAACAGTTAATATTGGACCAGTAGAATCTTTTTGGTAAGTGTTATTTGTATTCTGTACAAATCACTCTCTTAAATATCTATGTGCTTTGCCTGACGCTAAAATGACACTGATATTTTCTACTCAACTGTCTTACTGATCCTCAGAAACACTCCCTGGAGTGCTCCTTGACCGAGACGGAAGGCAACTACTGTGCGCAGCTGGCCCAGATCCAGGCTCAGATCGGGGCCCTGGAGGAGCAGCTGCACCAGGTCAGAACCGAGACCGAGGGCCAGAAGCTGGAGTACGAGCAGCTGCTGGACATCAAGGTCCACCTGGAGAAGGAAATCGAGACCTACTGCCGCCTGATAGATGGAGAAGATGGGTCAGTACTGCTTCCATTGAGGGAACTATTTTTTAAGCTTATTTAAGATTTTTTTGAAATCAAGTACAAAGTATGTATGACCTACATCACATGTGCCTAAACCCCTTCCAGTGTTATTTAAGAATCCAAGACTCTCCCACCTTAAATCAATATTTTTCAGTTTCCTCAGCACAACACAGAGTGAAATAATTAACAAAAGCTCTCCATATTTTTATATTTTTATAGCTCTTGTGTTAAATCAAAAGGATACAAAGGAGCGGGAAATGAGACAAAAGGTAAACAAAACCAGTGTTGAGCATTACTGAATGTTTGCATGCTTCAAATTATGAGTTAGTATTATATTTGTATGATTCAAATGATGAGTTAATTATTTCCCCTTTATGAATTTGATAAATCTAACAGTTCATATGTGTCCCTTTAGATTCATCTAAAGGCGCTGTGGTTAAAACAATCGTTGAAGAAATAGATCCTCGTGGTAAAGTTCTCTCATCCAGAGTTCAGACCGTGGAAGAGAAATCCACCAAGGTCAACAACATGAAGAACGAACAGAGGATGCCTTCCTGAACCCCCAAAGAATGGCCTTAAGTTAAAATACCAAACTGAAGCTAGATTCCTAAGGGCCCTCTTATTTTTCTGCTTTTCTTCCAGTGAATTAAGACAAACTATTTTTAGAATAGTAACTGTGGGAGGGGGGCTCTCTCTGTGGTGGTGTTTCAATAAAAGTTCTTCCTGTTGCAAGTCATCTTCACTGGTTTTGGTCTATCTTTACATTGTCAACCCAAACTAGAGCTGAATTCTGTTTTTAATATATTCTGTTTAATTCCATGGCCTTCACTAGTTATGAGTAAATTTAGCAGACAAACTAGCTGGAGTCATTTTCACATTTCTGTGAAATTTTAAATTTCTCCTCCTCTAAATACTTATTACACACACACTAAGTACTGGTAATGAGAATAGAACAGTTAGTAAAATCTAATCCCTAAGTGCAACATGCTCATAGAAGTGAAAATAAGGAATTGCAGAATCAGAAACATCCTACAAATAGAGAAAAAAAACTATAAATGGTGATATTTGAAGGTAGAAAGGAAAAGAGAAAGCTGTGGGGACTAGATAGGGCAAGTGACCAATTCCACAATATTAGGCCACAAAACAAGTCTTAAATTTAAGAAGACTGATATTATAACAAGTATCTTTTTTTTTACCATAATAGTATAAAACTAGAAATCAATAATAGGACAAAAGTTGGAAGATTCAAAAATATGTAGAAATTTAACAACACACTCCTGAACAACTTAATAGGTCAAAGAAATCAAAAGGGAAGTAGAAAAATATACTGAGACAAATGTAAATGAGAATTCCCTATACCAAGACTTATGGGATGCAGCAAAAGCTGCATTAAAAGGGCACTTTATGGTGATACCTGTCTGCATTAAGAAAGAAGAAAGATTGGGACATCCGAGATGGTGGTGGAGTAGCTACACCCACCTCCTCTTAGGACAAAACTGGAATGACAACTAAAATATGGAACAATCAACCTAAATAACCGACCAAAGGCTAGCTGAACAGAAGTCTTATAAGCAAGGATTTACAGCAGAAGCCACATCGAGACTGGTAGGAAGAGCAGAAACACAAAAAGGACTTGGCCCCGCCCACAGGCATCAACTGAGATCCCAGAGGGATATCCCAGCTACGAAGGTCTCCCCTCAGGAGCGTGGGGTCTCAACCCCAGGCTAGGTTCCCCAGCCCAGAGCACCAGAGCTGGGAAGAGATGCCTATATAACATCTGGCTATGAAAATCAGTAGGAATTCTGTCCAACAGGGAGAGGCCTGAGTCTGCTAGAAGACACAGGCGCCCTCTTAAAGGGCCAACACACAAAATCTCATTCACAGCCACTCACCCTGGGCTCCAAGTGGAGGGACAGAGGCATGCACTAGAGTCAAGGTAGGAGGGACTGGTTTGTGGCTCTGGGGAGAAAGCTGAAGGGACAGCCACTGCTATCCCTGTGCTGAGTCCCTCTCCCACACCTAAGATGCCATCTTTCCCGGGTGCAGCGCTCCCCTGTGGCATCATCCTGGGGGAGTGCAGTGGCCCCACACTCTGGATGCCCTGTCACCCCACCCTACAGAGCTCATACCTACTGAGGATTCAGCTGCCTGGGGGCAGGGATTTAGAGGTCGGGGAAGACTCTTGGGTGTCAGTGATCGAGTTGCGTGGCTCTGGGGCTGGGACCACTCCTCCCCTCCTTCTACCAACCCTGACTGATGCTTCCCCTCACAGAAAATCTACTGGCCCCACCCTCCTAACTCCTGGAGGCCCCGTCCTTCTGAGTTTGGGCTCAGCAGAAGCTGGGACAGACTGAGTTACATGGCTCTGGGACGAGGGTCATTTTTCCCTCTCACATCTGACCAGTACAGAGCCCTCCCTTCACAAGATCAAATCTTGGTCTGTTCGGGCCTGGTAGACTCTGCTGGCCTCCCCGGACAATTGCCAGAATACTTATATCATGAATAAAATAACCACTCTCAGAGACAAAATATATGGGTAGAAATAGCCTAGAAAACTTGTCAAGTTTATCTCCCTCTTCCAGAGAGGACTAAAGCTAAACTTTTGTAGTAATTATTCGTTTAGAGGAAATTTATGATTAAAACACTCAAGAGACTTGCCCTTATGAAAAATAGATGACAGTACTTCGAGGAATTAAGCATTAGGCACGCCAGTCCTGCCCCGATATAAAACTACTTTGTGATCTGTGTTGCTACTTAGCTTCAGAGTCTACTCATCTCCAGAATGGTTCTAATAATATTTCACAAAAGATTACAAGTTAATTATTATTTTTTAAATATCTAGAGATCAGTTGTTGATGTTAATAATACTTGGCAGTCTTGTAATACCTCTTCTCCAAGAAACTCAAGAGTTACAAACTGTGACACTAACAACATAGTCTGTCTTCATAGTTTTATTTGTGAGAAACAAGCAAAAGAGTAAAATGTTGACCAAGTCACAATAAAATCAGTAACAAGTGTCTGAATCTGAGCCACATCTCCTAACTCATCACACATTATTCTAAACTTGTGCGAGTGGTCTGAATTACAGTTTTATATTAATTATCTTAAAATATTTTGGTGGAAAAAAAATCTATGCACTCCGGACCTCACCCAATATCCCATAGATTTTAGGGGTAATCATGTTGGAGGTTTTCCAAACTAGTCAAAAGCCACCACCTTGAAAAATTGCATTCGGAAAAAAATGACCCTTTCAAAACTACCCAAACCCATCATCAGCCAAGCAATCAGTCTGTACCATTATAAACAACAGAGACCTGACCTTTCTGACATGGCCACTTCATTATAATAATTTAAGTAATTAACATTTGTAAAATGTTTGTGCCCTTCACACTGTTTTATAGTCATTAATTATTGGAACAGTTCAACATTCGTTCGCCACTGTTCAACATTATTGCTTCTCATTTGCCCAATAAGGAGATGGAGCCCAAGCAGGCAGGTGGACTTCCCGTGGGCATCAAGGCCAGAGAATAAAAAGTCTGCTTATCCATGACCACCAGCCTATTTAGAGGACCGAAGACTCAAGTACATCATGAAAACACCCCTCTCCGTCTTAATGTTTAATTCATCAATATGGACCTTGATAATCACTTCTCAGAATAGTTCTTAATGCGTTATATACATAAATTTCAACTAAAAGGCACTAAACAACATGTTAAGGCAGAGAAATGAACAATTTGGAGACTCAGAAGTTAGTTGAATGGACACTGTGCTCTTGGACTCAACCGAGAAACTTCAATGCAAGTGACTTTCTGTGGAGGCCACATAGTCATTGATTTTAGTTAAATTGATAAGCAAAGTACTGTAGGACTTCTATTATTTCCGTTTTTGATTTTTAAAAAAAATCAATGAAAATAAAACCCACTCCCAAAAGACCACTATATATTGAGAATATCTGATTTTAATAAGAAAGAAAATAATAAAGCATCAATAACAGATACTCCATAAGCATTTGCAGGACAAAAGCAGTAGACATTTCTTGTTCGACTTACTAATTTTTTGTTATAAAGGGGAAAAAAAAAACTAGAATCTATTCCGGAGGTCAAAACGCTGTATTTTTTTTACTCAGATTTAAGTTTAGCCTTTGAAACTGTGATTCAGCGTTACTCCGCCTGGCCCGCGTGCAGAGATATCCTTGGGCGCTTCCCTACCCTAGACCAGACAGTACTGAAAATCACCCAGTTCCGGAAAACAACAATTAGGGGTGAGTAACGTTTTCTTATAAATCGCATAGTTAAGACTGAAATGACTTGCTGAATCCTATAAAAGGCCAATGGCACTAAGTACTGTGGGCAGGGTACTTTGGCTTGGCTCCTGTCTGAGAAAGGGTCGCTCACCTGTGCTGTCGCCATGTCCTTTCGCCTCTCTGGGGGGTCCAGGCAGGTCTGCCCTCGAGCTGGCTGCGGTTGGTGGTCAGGTGGCGGAGCAGGCCCCGGGGCTGGGAGTGGGTGCGGCGGGTCGGTGGCCGGAGGCAGCTTCTCCTGTACTCTCGGGAGCGCTTGCTCTGGAGGAGGTTTCTATGGCGGTGGTGGAGGGTTGGGAAGTGGGATCTGTGCTGGTTTTCTTGCAGATGAGCATGGCCTCCTCTGTGGGAACGGAAAGGTGACCATGCAGAACCTCAATGACCGCCTGGCCTCCTACCTGGACCATGTGCGAGCTCTGGAGGAAGCAAACACAGACCTCGAGCAGAAAATCAGGGACTGGTGTGAGAGATACGGGCCTGGTTCTTTCCCGGGCCTGGATTGTGACTACAGTAGATACTCCTCAGTCATTGAAGAGCTTAAGAGGCAGGTAAGAAATACGGCTGTGCATACGTTTATTATAAATTTGGGGTGTCCATAACTTAAAAAAGATAAAATATTAAATGTGCTTAGTAAGTGTATAATGTAGAACTTGCTCACTCTGTGTGCTTAGTGCTTGGGACTGTGCCTTATAATAAAAATTCATGGAATTAATGAAACATATAGTTTTAAAATAAATATAATCACTTTGCTGATCTTATATTTAGCTCATAGTTTTTAATAAAGAATAACAAAAGTATCCATGATTATAAAACTTATACTTTGGCTTTTAAGTTCTAGACATTTATCATCAGAAGAAAATCCAAATTCCTTTAATGTAGGAAAAGATTATACTAAAATAGATGCTTGATAAGAAAATAAAAGTCACACTTAAATATGGAGTCTTCCTTGACTTTTGGAACGTAACATTTTGCACAATCTACCCTATTTAGATTATTTCTGTGATCACCTATAACGCCAGCATTGTTCTACAAAATGAAAATGCCAGACTGACCACTGATGACTTCAGGCTGAAGTAGGTAAAAATAAAGACATTAATTATAATAAAGGTAGAGATACTACAGTTGGAGTAAAAAAACATATCTTGTGCTTATAAAACCGACATGTTTTTATAAAGTCAGGCTAGATCACTGAAGAAGTTAAATCTGTCCTTGTAAGAAGAGCTATCATACATTTTAGGGAATGTTTTTATTCAATGGTTAAACATATTGGGATGACAAAAATTAAGTCTGCAAAACAACTCCTCCAAAATAATATTCATAGACCAGTAGGTCTTCCACAGGGATGCATCACTTTGCCATCGCGACCAGCTTCCGAAGCGTGTACAGACATCATGTTTTCCGGTACATGAAATGTCAGAAGGAGGTGTCCCTGCAGCTGCCTGTGATTACAATTCTCTAGCTCTTTAATTACCTGTCAGGTATGAAAACGAGCTTGCCCTGCACCAGAGCATTGAGACGGACATCAGTGGGCTGCACAGAGTGATGCATGAGCTGACGCTTTGTACCACCAACCTGGAGATTCAGTGTGAGACACTCAGCGAGGAGTTGACATACCTGAAAAAAAGTCACGAGGAGGTAAGAATGCAGCAGGGTGGCTTTGAATAGCATCAGATTTCCTTGTTCAAGTTCACTGTTCATTTCACAGCAGAGTACGATTCTTAAACGTCTAGTTTGAATATCAGCCCTGATCCCTTTTCCAGGAAATGGAAGTCCTGCAGTGTTCGCCAGGGGGGAACGTGCATGTGGAAATGAACGCGGCCCCTGGAGTGGACCTAACAGTTCTGTTGAACAACATGAGGGCCGAGTATGAGGACTTGGCCGAGCAGAACCACCAAGAGGCCGAGGCCTGGTTTAACGAGAAGGTACGTCTGCGGCAAATCACACACCAAGGGCTTGTTTGTTCGGTAGACTGGTCACTAACTCTTCTGACAATTATGCCGCAGAGCGCTTCGCTGCAACAGCAAATTTCTGATGATGCGGGAGCAGCCACAGTGGCCAGAAATGAGCTGACGGAACTGAAACGCGACCTGCAGACCTTGGAAATAGAACTTCAGTCCCTCAGGGCCACGGTGTGTAGGAATCACCAGTGATTTGAGTATCTGTGTGTGTACGGGCAAGTAAATACATATATGTAACCAACTTGACAACAAAGAGTACATAACTGAAAATGTAAGATATATTTAATATATGGATATATTAAATATCAAGAATTTTGTCCATAAACATTATTTCTAACTCATCAACCCCCAAAATTTTTTAAAAAGAAATTTTTTTCAGTGAAAAGAAAATAATTTTTTACTTTGGTTTTTTTTTTAAAGATTTTATTTATTTATCTTTAGAGAGGAAGGGAAGGAGAGAGGGAGAGAAATAGCAATGTATGGTTGCCTCTCATGCATCCCCTGCTGGGAACTGGCCTGCAACCCAGGCACGTGCCCTGACTGGGAATCAAACTGCGATCCTTTGGTTCTCAGGCCCATGCTCAATCCACTGAGCTACACCAGCCAGGGCTTTACTTTGTTAATGATGGTTTTGATTGCATACAAATCCCTTTCCACCTTGAGAAGGTTTAAAATGGAACTGTGTTATTTATGGGTTCCACAGGTAAGCCTTGCCTTCTTCTTTCAGAAACATTCCTACGAATGCTCCTGGGCAGAGACCGAAGGTTCTTACTGCCTTCAGCTCCAGCAAATCCAGGATCAAATCGGGGCGATGGAGAAGCAGCTCCAACAGCTCCGAATGGAAACAGCAGGCCAAAAGCTGGAGTATGAACAGCTTCTAGATGTCAAAATAATTTTAGAGAAAGAAATCGAAACTTACTGCACATTAATAGATGGAGAAGGAAGGTAAATATTACCTTGTGAAAAATTAATTTAGTAGTTAAAAAATTAACCTCACACCAGCTAGGCTTTCTCAGTCTGCGTGTACCCTGGTATTGTACCTTAGAATGTCCTGCTCTGCAGCTCATACCCTGTGGCCTCGGAAATTTATTATTGCATCCAAGTGAAACAAAAACAGGCAGCAAAACAAAGTGTCTAAGTATGTAAAATATTTGTATCTACAGTCATGTGTAGAACGTTTACATACAGAACATTGACCAATTCCTCTACTCCAATCCGGGGGGAAGTTGCTGTCTGTGACTTAGTGTTGAAGCACGTGTCTCACAGTGGCCCACTATTTTTTTATTACTCAGTTAGTCACCCGACATGCACCCGTATTGAGTGGGCTGTTACATCTTCACTTGAAAGGTGAGCGATGAGGACACAGAAGATTTCTTTGGCAAAGGCAGCAGTAGCTTGATAGCCAACGGCAACAACCCTAAAATCGCAAACCTGGGTCCAGATGGCACCGCTGAGTGAATCTAAGCACATTGCTTAAGCTCTTCAAAGCCCAGTATTTTTATTGGGAAAACTATGATAACACCGGAATCATACTCTGAAATGCTTTTAGCAACAGTGCCTCACTATGCAGGAAAAGGGCTTGTGACACTGTGGCTTGCACGCAGAAGGCACGCAGTAATCAGTGGCTGTTACCAAATGCTCGTCCATGGTCACACCACGACTTGATAGCATCTTATGCGTCTTCTAAGACTAGCGTCAGCCCGACAGCAGATTCTCATAGGAACCCAGCAGTGACCGCTGCGTCCCTCAAAGTGCTCATCACGCCATTCATTTTTCACTTCTCTTACACACCTTCCATGCTGCAGTAAAGGAAACTTTTAACAAGCCGATGCTTGGTTTTATTTTCAACAGTGTAAACTGCTTGCATATTGGCTCTGTATTTTGTGCAACGCATCGTCCAGAGCCTTCTGCACAGTTGGCACGTCAGACATGCCCATTGGCCAGGGGACGGACTGAAAAGTCAGCATGAGGACCTGGAGTCCCAGTAACGCTGAGATGAGAGATCATTTTTTTATGATAAACACCCATTTAATCTCTTCTGTCACTATACTGAAGTCATGAAAAGCTCACTAACATCTGTTAAACATAAGAATTTGAACCTCATTGAAACTAGAACTTCAAAACTTTTATTCCCAATTCAGTGTCATTTATGAGCTCCCTAATGGAAAAACATGCACTAATTTTCTCTTCACAGAAAAAACAAGTCTACATGTGGCAAATCAAAAGGGTGCGAGCCCATAAATTCCGAAAATCAAGTCAAAGGTACAGAAGGGCTTTTCCTTGCTGTAACTCTTTCAAACTTCAGCGATTGTTTTCAATAAGTCACTTATTTGGAAGCTACCGTATTTTGCTGTGTATAATGCACACCCATGTTTTGGGCCCCAACTTTCAGGGGGAAAAAAATCTTTCGTTCTAATTTTTTAATTCAGTTTTGTATTTATTTATATTTAGATACTTGTTTTTTATATTATAAAGGAACTTTAGTGTGTATTTTTGAACTATAATGATACAAGAAATTTTATGTAACAAATAATTACAAAACACAAGAACAAATGCAAGGTATTTCAGGTACCACCCATGTAAAATGCGCACCTTTGTTTTTCCCTCAAAAATTTTGGCAAAAAGTACACATTTTGTGTACCTGGCGAAACACAATAATAAGGTCATCTTTAAGTTTAGGTCTAGTGAGGGAAGGGGTAAGGGAAACTCATCATGCCAGTTCTTAATGTTTGTATTTCATATTCTTGTGCAAACAGATCTGGTCCAATTATGAAATTACTGAAATGGGGAACCAATCCCCCAATATCTGTTTTTACTTAGAACCTATTAATTTTACAGTGTTAATGCTTTGATATTAGAGCTGCTTTATTTTAAACCACAAAACTAGGGCAAGCCAGTGTTTAAAAGAAGACACATTTTTGCTTCAGGTCTGTGCTTGCCTGACACATGTTTTAGTCCATGTTTCATTCATGCTCTCAAACACCCATTGCTCCGAAAAGAGCGGTAAATACAGGAAGGACAGCCCAGGCCCTGTTCAACAGGGACTTCAAACACAGTATCTCAGTATCTCCATTTACTACACACTTGCAAACATCATTTTTAAAAAGCTTACCCATTATAACTAAACACCTTTCAACCCCATTCATAATGGACACTAAAGTCTCATTTGTTTTATTTTAGACTCAAAAGGAGAAACTTATTAAAACAGTGGTCGAGGAACTAAATCAACTCAGCAATGTCCTTGCACGGAGGGTCCACTCGTTTGAAGACAAGCCCTCCAAAATAAGCACTATTACAATGCAGCAACGGGTACCTTCTAAAGCACCGTAATGGGGGAAGAGGGGTTGTTATCTTTAAAGACCTGCCTTTGCCAAATCCCACGGGCTAAATAACCCAAGGAGATGATTCACTTCTGTTCTTAAAAATAAATAGGCTACAATTTGTTTTTCTCTTCTTCCTTTTTTTCAAGTTCTTTGCATGTAACCTTTCTCAGGGGTGTATACAGTATAGTTCTATGTATCTGATGTTCTGGCATAGACGGAGGTATAGATGTAAAAAACTGGCCAGCACTTTCCTGGAGCTGGGACTGTGAGAGAGGTCGATGACAAAGGATATGAGGGGTTTGGGGGTGGGTAACGAACTGTCCTACATCTTGATTATGGTGGGGGTCACATGACCATGCGTCTGTCAAAACTCAGAGAACCGTATGTTTAAGATGAACTTTACTATGCATATACTAAACCTCAATAAGTCCAATGAAAAAAAGCTGACAAAAAATTGAAGGCATCTATCCTAAAGAAAAATGTGAACATATTCAGCATTATTAATAACATGCAAAATGTTGGAAGCAGTCTGAAAGTTTCCTAGTAAGACAGCAGTTAATCAAGTTACTTAACAGTAGGTTTGGCCCTGAGTAACAGTAACACAACAGGACTTTACACAGATAGAAGTTTATCTCTTTCACACACATAAATTCAGAGGCGGGCTATTCAGGGCTGGGATGGCAGTTTTGCACCAGAGAGTCCTCAGAGACCCGAGTTCCTTTTAGCTTCCACTCTGCTACACCCCGAATTGGGCCCTGCTTCGGGGTCCCAGACGAAGCCCCAACCGTCACATCCAGCCACCACACTCAGTGCAGCAGGGTGGGAGAAGGTGGACGATGACTTGTGTCAGCTTCATCTTAGATAAAGTTTCTAGAACACACCGCATATATTCTGCTTACTTCACATTGGCTAGCTTAGTCACACGACTACAATTAGCTGCAAAGAATCCTGGAGAAAGTAGTCTTTGCTGTGGGTAGCTATCACCCAGTTAAAAATGGGGGGTCCAACCAGCAGTTTTGACCACATCAGGCACCTACCTACTCATGCTCTAAGGCATGTAAGGTGAACAAAGCAAGTTAGAGAACACATAAAACACAGATGACTCATCTGTGGTATATGTGGGCTTACATGCTGTGTACATAAGCAAACACATGGAAAACCGTCTGGAAGGGCACAGATATCTGGAAGGGTAGGTAAGCTGCGGTTACCTGAGGGCGTAAGGAGAATAGAAGAGAGAGGAAGGTGAGAAAGAACTTCAGCATTTTACTCCATACTCTTAGATACTGCGTGATTCATTTACATCAAGAATGTTTCCATGTGGAGAGTAAAATGGTGGGTGCCATGTCTATATCAGCATTTTTCACAATAGCCAAAAGGTGGAGGCAACCCAAGTGTCCACCCGCTGTTGAATGGATAAACAAAATATGGAACCTATGTACATGCCGTAGAACATTATTCAGCCTTTAAAGAAAGGAAATTCTGACACACGATACAACGTTGAAGACATTACGCTCAGGGAAATAAGCCAGTCACAAAAAGAGAGATAACGCACAGTGTTACTTATCTCAGCTGCCCAGAGTAATGGCTGGCATAGGTGTTTTGTAAATACTTGTTAAATAAGTGAATGAATGAACATACATGTTCACAACAGTATCACATAAATGTGGGAATTTTGTCCATAAGCCAATTCCCAGATTTTTCAACAATTTCCATAATATCTAGGGTTTTCAATAAATATATGGGGATCCTCACCCAGTAAACAGTTAATTTACTGACTTTCACTTAAGCTACACCGCGGGAAAGTAAAAACAGATAAAACGTTTCCTTCTGGGTTTGCTTCAACTTTTGCTGGGTCAGGAAGTAAGTTAACGTCCTTCCAAACTCCCACAACCCACAACAGCAATTAGGGGTGTGTTCCTAATTACCAAAATGGATAAGAGAAGGCAGCTATCCTAGACATAAGTGTCAACAAAAGATGAGGCACGTCAGCCAAAATGGAAGTTACTGCCCATCGGAAGCAGCCGCGGGAGTGTGTGGGGGCAGAACTGGTCACTCAAAGACCAGGTTGGGGAAACCGTGATTCCAGTCTGTTCTCTACTCACGTGGAAAGAACTGTGACGAGAAAACAAGAAAAAGTCCCATAAACATCAAAATCTGCCTCAGCCTACAGAGCCCAAAACCATGACGCCAGATTTTTCTGGCGTGGTGGACTGATGAGTTTTATCTTCTAAGGAGGGAAGTGAAGAATGACTCACTCACGATTTTAAAATGTAATAAGGAGCCTGAAATTGTTCCACCCAGACCCATTTCTCAGATAACCACCAACCTGAGGGCAACTGCCTTCCTACAGAAGTGAGCCCAGCAAAGTTAGTTACTAATTAGGAAAAATCATCCAATTATGCTAACTTGCTGAGGCTGGCAAGCCGTGTTTCACCCTGTGTAGGCAGAATACCATCCAGAACACACTTGAGAACTATCTATAAAAAGGCAAACCCAACAGCCGAGAGGAGAAGGCACTCCGTTCCGGCTTACAGCTCTGCCAGGCGCTAGTCGGGTACCATGTCCCTTCGACTTTCCAGCAGCTCCAGGAGGGCCTGTGCCCGCCCCACCACAGGATCCCTCCGGCTCTCCAGTGGGGGAGCCGCCTTCGGGGCTGGAAATGCTTGTGGGGTGCCTGGAATCGGCAGCGGCTTCTCCTGTGCCTTTGGGGGCAACTCTCTGGGAGGAAATGCAGGAGCAAGCAATTCCTGCGCTGGCTTCACTGTGAACGAGCACGGCCTCCTTTCGGGCAATGAGAAGGTGACCATGCAGAACCTCAACGACCGCCTGGCCTCCTACCTGGACAACGTGCGTGCTCTGGAGGAGGCCAATGCGGACCTAGAGCAGAAGATCAAGGGCTGGTATGAGAAGTTTGGGCCTGGATCTTGCCGGGGGCTGGATCATGACTACAGTAGATACCTCCCTATAATCGATGATCTCAAAAGTCAGGTAAGAAATTACAGTTCAAAATCATTTCTATGAACTTACATTACTAAATCCTCTTTTCCTTTCCTCACTGAATACTAAAAAATATTTATCATCTCTACTTGTCATTGCTTGAAAGGAATTTCAATTTAGCAATTGAAAAATTGCCAAATAAGCAATGTAAGCATCTGGAAAATAAGCATTAAGTAGATTCCATTGGTTAACCTCACGGTTTCAAATGTCACTATCTAGTAACTACATTAATTTTGATTATTTCCATTTCCTAATCTAAAAAAAAACACTTGGGTTTTTTTTTATTGATTGTGATGAATTGCCTTTAAAAAATCGAACTCCCATTTTCTAGATCATTGCTTCCACCACCAGCAACGCTAATGCCGTTCTCCAGATCGATAACGCCAGGCTGACCGCTGATGACTTCAGACTCAAGTGAGTAGACTCTTACAGAGTGAAAGAATCCATGGAGATTAATGGGAAGCATTACACGGAATTTATTTTTTGATCCCTCCATTAAATATTAACCAACTTCTATTGCAGCAGGGTAAAACACTGGATTTAAAGTAAACAGAATGTTACTGCTTTCTTATGCTTTTGCCGTGAATTATGAAGTATGAACAGCTATTATAGTAGTGTTGAATGCCCTCGTTCTTTTTCTGTCAACGAAATACCGTAAAGAAAATAATAACTATCGTGCAATAAACTTTGAAAATGTCTCCTGTGGCCAAATCTGCCACTTCAAAATTCCAGGTCTCTAGTATTCGATCACGGATTGGTGACTCCAACCGTGTGACAAGCTGGAAAATCATTCACACTTTTTAAGGTACGAAAATGAGCTGGCACTTCACCAGAGTGTAGAGTCCGATGTCAACGGACTGCGCAGAGTTCTGGATGAAATCACCCTGTGCAGGACAGACCTGGAGATTCAGTATGAAACCCTGAGTGAGGAGATGACCTACCTCAAAAAGAACCATAAAGAGGTAAGAGCTGGACATCTACATTTTCCCCCCATCCCACCGCCTGCACATTCTATCTACCTGACGGGTGGTAATGTACTTGACTTCTTAAACAAGAAAGTGGTCCTAACGATCCATTATCAGACAGACATGAGGCCTGAGTTGTCTTTAGAAGGGATGAAGTATTTGTACAGATTTACCTTCACTCTCTCATCATTTCCCACGGGAAAAAAAAAAAAGAATCATGTTTTCCAGTCCAATCTTGATGACAGGAGCAGTGTTTGGCTAGATAATTAGAGCTAAGTTAAAATGGCACACTTAAAAGATTACACCTAATTAGATAAAAGATACATACTTTAAGAACAGCCTAGAGAAACTAGCTCTAAATTCCTTATAACAGTGGCAGATTTGAAACACTCATACATCTTCTCCATCCACACAAAAAGTACACATACACTTAACATTAATACATATTCTTCATAGGTATGGCTATAAAAATAATGAGACTGACATTAAACTGTTACATCAAAAATCACACTTCCAAACAAACAGCATACGTCCAAAGTCGTCAGCGTGGGAAGTGAGATTCTAAATCGGAAAACATGGCCATTACAACCAGACACACCTTTGAGATTGTTTTCAGAACTACTATTTCCTGAGACCATCTCCATTCTTTAAAAAGGAATTTGATATTTTTAAACAGCCAAACACTTCTTTAGTCAAGCAAAATGCTTAAGGGAGAAGATCAAGCTAAAAGTGCTGCTTGGTTAGTTGTGAGGCTATCTTGTAACCCTAACTATCTGAAGAACTGCAATGATACAGATATACGGGTTCTGGCTACGACCCCTTGGTAGAGTTAACAAATTTTTTTATGTATTGAACGCAATTAATTTTTTTAATAACTCACAGGCCAACTCCCATGCATCTTTTTCTTTTTCTTCTTCTGTTTGAACTAAGGAAGTTTTCCCTAAATCTCAGAAGTAAAAACCCCACCCGGAGACAGAGAAGGCATGGGAACCACCAGGGAGGAACAAAAGCTAGACTCACCAGAGGGACTTGGTGCCGGGAGGAAGAAAGCCTCATTATTGCCATTAGGACGAATCCAGGCCCAGGATGGGGCAGGGGGTGGAGGAGGGCCCTGCAGCAGAGCCGGCAGCTGTTCTGCATTGTTTCCGTTGGACGCGGTCTCGGCAGTGACGGCCGCCATCCGCAATCTTAGAACTGACTCACTGCATCCCAACGGCACACACCTCGGGTGGAATAATATGAACTAATACACCAAACTCATTCCAGCCTCTGTAATGATGATAATGACCATAATAACTAGCATTTATTCAGTATTTGTGTGGCAGGGAGTTTTGTTGATCTTATTACCATTTCACATCTTTCAATGGCACAGAGGAGGATATTTTTTTATCCTCAATTTTCAGATAAGAAAATTGAGACTCGAAATTAAGCAATGTTCCCAAGTTCACCTCGCTACTACAGGGCAGAGCCAAAATTCACGGAGATTGGTTTGACTGAAGTCCATCAAGACACTATAATGATGGACTTCGTAATAAATGTCCTGTGGGAGCGTAATGGCTTAATAGGTAGCCAGGATTCTTTAGAAGATGATGTTCTTCCTTTACTAATGATAAATAAATAAGTTTGTCATTATAAATATAAATATATAAACAAATATTTATTTACTCATAATTACTGCAACTGTTTGGAATTATGCAAACTCAGCCCATCCACCACAGCCACGCCATGTTCAGGACAGAGCTGAGTGGAGAGCCCGTCAAAGCTTGTGGCAAAGTAGAATAATGGCCATTCCACGAAGGTGGAGACATTTAAGCCGTCAAGGAAGAGAGTAAGAGATGATGGATCACTCATTCTAAATATTTTAAGGACTTTCATTTGGAAAAGGAGTTAAGACCTTTTCTGTGCAGCAGAACTAAAACCAACTGAAGAATTGGAGTTTATGAGAGGCAATTGGGTTCACCCTGAGACAGGCTTCTGGAGCAATTAAAGCTCCAAAAATGCAACAGCCTCTTTCAGTGAGTTCACTGTCATTTGAAAGTTATGTCCACTAGACAGGAAATATAAAAAGTAGAGGGAGCTCACCACACAGCCTGGGAGGTGAAACCAGGGGGACGCTGAGAACCCTTATGAAGCTAAGCTTCTAGACTCTGTACGTGGTCCCAGCATAGCTGAGCTGCATGCTTCCTGCCTGTAGGAAATGCAAGTTCTGCAGTGCGCCGCGGGGGGCAATGTGAACGTGGAGATGAACGCGGCGCCCGGGGTGGACCTCACGGTCCTGCTGAACAACATGCGAGCCGAGTATGAAGCCCTCGCAGAGCAGAACCGCCGGGACGCAGAGGCCTGGTTCAATGAGAAGGTGAGTCTTGTCCCGGAAACAAGCCTGCTGCGTCTTGGCGCTGTTCCCACAACTAAGACTTGCTCCCCCACTTGGACCTTTCAGAGTGCCTCGCTGCAACAGCAGATCTCTGAGGATGTGGGAGCCACGACCTCTGCCCGGAATGAGCTGACTGAGATGAAGCGCAATCTCCAAACGCTGGAAATTGAACTTCAGTCTCTCCTAGCCACGGTAGGAAGCGGCAACTGCTTACTGTCTCCTAGGTTATCGTTTCAAATATGTGACAGTTGGTTTTCAATCTCTTAACTATGTTGAGAATACATCCATATATTAATTTATGTAATTAAAGCATGAAGAATAAGATTTTATATGGAACAGCCAACATTGCAACATCAACGTCATTATGTTTATTCTACCTAAAAGACTTGCTCATGTTAAGGGTATCACAGCCTTCCTAACCATCTGTCAATGCAAAATCTAAAACAATTGTAAGCAAAGTTAACAAGAGGAGAAAGTCATATGCCAAAGCAAGTTTGTGTATGTGGATATCCATCTCGGTTTCTTCATCGTTCCCTTTCAGAAACACTCCCTGGAGTGCTCCTTGACCGAGACGGAAGGCAACTACTGTGCGCAGCTAGCCCAGATCCAGGCTCAGATCGGGGCCCTGGAGGAGCAGCTGCACCAGGTCAGAACCGAGACCGAGGGCCAGAAGCTGGAGTATGAGCAGCTGCTGGACATCAAGGTCCACCTGGAGAAGGAAATCGAGACCTACTGCCTCCTCATCGGTGGAGATGATGGGTAGGAAAAATAATTTTCCAGGAAGTAAATATACTGAAATCTGCATGAAACTTAGGTCTCCGGGAAGGGTGCATAAACTGATATGAACACAGTTATTAGCATAGACGCTAAGCATTAAACATGATATCCTACTACTAAGATATGAATTAGCAACATCCTACAAAGCCAAAATGCAACAAGCCCTGTTGCATTTTGTATGGGATGAAAATTTAAAAATCACCTATTGATGCTAAAGCAGGCGTAACCCACTAAAATGTTCTCACCAAACATCTAAAGAAAACAGAACAGTGGGTCTAGAACTGAAGGGCCCTCTCCAACTCACTCCTTTGTAACGTTTCAACAACATGTGTTCACAGGGCTTGCAAGTCTGGAGGCCACAAGTCCAAAGATTATGGACCTGGAAATACAGGAAGTCAAGCCAAAGGTAATTCCAAGTAAAATCTATTTCTATGCGTTCCTACTTCATTTTCAATGCTCGGCTTGATTGCTTTTATACTGCCAGAATATACACTTCATATATTATATATAAGAACAGGTACGATAAAGATTTGTAGTAGATGTCAGTGTGTGCTAGATGGCTACCTTTAGTAATGTGTGCTCATTTTAAACAGAATAACATGTCACTATGTTTTTAGCAAATCATGCAATCAAAATTCACTAAATATGAGTCTAAGTATTTGTGTTTATTGCATAGTTTATATAAAAATCCTATTGTCCCCGTAATTGATATAATTTCTTACCATTTTTTTAAAAAGTTCATTATGGTAAAATGTGCAGAACATAAAACTTACCATCTTAACCATTTTTGTGCATACAGTTCGGAGGCTTTATGTGCCCTCACATTCTTGTGCAACCATCCCAACCATCCATCCCTAGAACTCTCTTCATCTTCAAACACTGAAACCCTGCATCCGTTAAACAACCATTCCCCGTTCCCTGCTCCCCACCCCTGGCAACCACCACTCTGCTTTCTGTGTGAATTTCCCTACTCTGCGTAGCTCCTATAAGTGGAACCATTTAGCATCTGTCTTTCTGTGACTGGGTTATTTCACTTAGCATAATGTCCTCAAGAAGGCATGTGTCAGAATGTCCTTTCTTTTTAGAGCTTAATCATATTCCCTTGTATGTTTATACCATATTTTGTATCTATTCATCATTAATGGATACTTGTTGCTTCCACATTTTAGCTATTGAGACCTTAGTCATCTTTTGTCAGGTATCTAAAACCTCCCTTTAAACTTTAATTTTTAGATCCAGCCAAACCCATAGTGGTTAAGAAAGTTCTCGAGGAGGTAGACCAACGCAGCAAAATACTGAGCACCAGGCTGCACTCCCTGGAAGAAAAGTCCCAAAGCAATTAGTCTGAGACACAAGAGCTAGTGGATGCTGAACACTTTCCAAGAAGAGCAGGCATGGCGTCATCGATCTGTCCTGAGAAAATGAGCAAGTCTAACACAGAATCCGTCTCTTCATCTTTCTGTTACTGAAATATAATCTCTAGCTATCAATAGTGGTATCTCCCCATTCACCTGGAAGAATGTCACATACAAATGTGACGGCTTATTTGACTACCTTGTAGAAAATAATTCTTTGATTACCTTATAGAAAATAATTACCTTATAGAAAGTCAATTCTTTGTGCTCAATAAACTTTCTTTCTTCAGCAAGTTATCACTGATGGTGTCGTCTTACACTTAAAATGTTTGTGTCTGTGGTACAGGTAACTGAACACCCAACAGCTTTTAATTTATATGAAAGCTTTAAAATTTTTAAGAGATTTCCATCTAAATTTTCAAGAGGTTTTCCCAAAAATTCAAAATGAGACAAATACAGAATGAATAAAAATACTTTCACTTGAATCCCTGACTTGCCATACTCTGACTTAATAACAAGTCTATTCTCCCTTCATAGTAGATAAATGTATACATTTCAGGTTCATGTGTAAAATGGGGATTGTAAGAATACTTCTCTCAAATGGTTATTATAAAGATTAAGCAAATGACTGTGAAGTATACTTATTGACTAAGCACTCAGTAGATGCCAACTTATTAATACTTGATATTTATAATGATTAATTTTTAAATATCATTTCCCTTTTGAAAATATATTTAAACAATATTCCCAAAATAAGGGACTTAAAACAAAAATTCTGTTTTAGAATTCAAGTTCTATTAATGGAGTCACTCACTTGTATTACAAAGTGCACCTGATGTTTATAACTCTCATCACTAATGGATTCATCTCTAATAACGGGAAAAAATTAAATGAACTAAAACATAATTTCCTCAGATCAAACATTACCTCTAGAGACTTAGTTGACCCTCGGTCCTCTGTGGATGGATTTCCCATATTACAATCCATCTGTGAAAATTTGATTTCAAGCTCCATCTGAAAATATCAAGCAGAAAAGATAATTGGGGTTTGTTAAGGGCACTATGATTATCCTTGAATTACTTTCACTGTCTATTTCTAATGCAACCTTAGCCAGCAGCCAGGTTGCAACCTTAGACATCTGCCTTGGGCTCGTCTCATTAAAAATCAAACTAACAGCCTTGGCCAGTGTGGCTCAGTTGGTTGGAGCACTGTCCCATAAACCAAAATGTCATGGGTTTGATTCCTGGTTGGGGCACATGCCTGGGTTGTGGGTTTGATCCCAGTCAGGGCATATGGCAAATGATCGAGGTTTCTCTCTCTCCTTGCCTTCACCTCGCTCTCAAATGAGAATAAAAAATAAACCTTTGAAAAATAATAATCAAACTAACAAAGACAAATTGATTCTCTAACCTAATTTGTTAGAGAAGGAAGCATTGAAGAGTGAGTGATTCAGGGATTGGGCCGTGAACTGCCAGGACTCAAAATAATTTCTACCTCTTTCTGGCTGTATGTTCTTGGGCAAGTTATCTAACTGTTCTTACCTGATTTCCCTACCTGTAAAATGGAGAATATAATAATATCTACTCCAGGAAGTTATTGTGAGGATTAAATATCCAGCCTATGTACTTTGAAAAGTGCCTGGTTCTTACTAAGTCCTCAGTAAATGTCGCTGGTATGATGAAGAAATAAAAATGTAAAAATTAGAGTTGTACAATTGAAACTTTTATGGTTTTGTTAACCAGTGTCACCCCAATACATTCAATAAAAATTATAAAAATTAAAATCATGATATCGCAGAATTTGAAAGGCATGGGAGGCATAGAGACAATCGAGTCCAGGCCAAGTTTCCCCATCACGTCACTGAGGCCCAAGGGATAGAGAGGCTGAGCCAGAGTCACGCCTAGTACTCAGAATGAGAGAGATCATCTTATCAATCCTTCAAAAGGTGGATGATAATTTCCCCTACTTTACCATGAGCCTTAGGCGACGAACTGAATAAATCAGCAAACCAAAAAGCACTCAGGAGCAAAATGACCTAATTCCAATGAAGGTGTTGCCGAAATGGCAAGTCTACAAAGAAAATGGAGAGCACAGCTCCTGATCCCACCCTCTGATGCGCACAGGCACGCGGGGACTCGGTGCCAGCCTGGCCATCACGTCCCTGCTCAGGGGGTGACTGTGCTTGAACTAGTGAGTGAGGCAAGACGTAGCTGCATGATTTCCAGAAAAGGAGGAGGAGCAGGACTGCCTTGGTTCAGCAGGGTCTTCTACCTGCTTGATGAAAACAGGGGTATATTTATACCTGGAGTGGACACAGCTATAATTTTTTAATTATCTACAGGATTGAGTCGCTTTCAAATATAAACAAAATTGTCTAGGGTAGCCTTGACATTTATATACTGATTTAATTTTTATGATTCTTTAATCCCTACCTATAAAACCGCATGCAGAACCTTGGGCACTAGCCTTCTGCACTATAATCTGATGCTTTTCAGCGGGCCATCGATCCTCCCAGGCCTCGCGATGCTACTGTATTTGGAAGTTGTCATCTGCAGAGGTGGACTGGGGGCCCCAGGCCGTCCTTAGGTTATACTCACAGCTATGGTCTATTACCAGGAACGGTTAGATTAAAATCGCCAAAGACAAAAGGGGCTGAGTACAGAAGCCACCAAGCACTATTTAGTACGACTCCACTGTTTTTGCGCAGTAAAGTCGTACTAAATAGCACGTATTCATCCCAGAAGTTATGTGTGAAGACACACAGGAAGTATTGTCAACCAGGGAGGCAAACCTTGGTGTCCAGGGTTTTTACTGGGGGTCGCTCACACCGGCATGGGGCACCCATGTGACTCACCTTCGTTTCTCAGTCTCCAGACCCTTCAGAGGTCAAACTGATACAGCAGGTCATAAATCACGCCATGGGCATGAAGTCTCTGCATCTCCAAAGAATTATAAAAATTAAATTAGCATATAAATGTTAATGCCACCCTGATACCTTTATATTTCTGGTTACACTCTTATCAGCCAGGATGTTCCAAGGCTCGTGGGTGATCTCCAGGAGCTGGGCAAGGGCTGGCCCTTTCTTTGGAACGTATAGGGCACAGGTAGCAAACACAAGCCCCATGGGCCAAATCCAGCCCTCCACCTTGCGTTACCCAGCCCGGCACCTTGTTTCTACCCGGCAGCAGCACTGAGCTCTCGCTTAACTGTTAAGGAGTAGTTACATTTATACAGTCCCAAAATGACCTTTGAAAGCAACCTCCAGGCTGATGTGGCCCCTGGTGGAAATGAGTTTGACATCCCTGGTCGGGTCTGTGCATCAACCTAATGAGTTAGCCCTGCAGCGGGCAAGGGATCTCACGGCAGGGCCCCAAGACGGGAGAGAGCTCTGCTTCTGCACATTCGTCTCTTAGAACGAGACCTGAGGGTGCATGAGCACTCCACACTCAGGACCGCCACACACCCTGATGTCCAGGCTCCGCAGTCAAGTGTAGCTCACGGTGAAGCCCATCTTCAGAGGGAGTTCTGTCTTACAGTCCTTTTTTGACAATTAGCACCTGTCAGTCTGCAAACCGCCAGCCCAGTGGTCTTCCCACCCAACATACGACCTTAGGAGTTTGGAGAGGATTTCAAAACACTCCATCCCTGGTAACTTATCCCATGAAAACTGATTTTATATAAAATGTTTTTAAAACATGGACAAACATAGAAATTAATAGATGTAAACTTCTCTTTCATGTAAATTTAAAATCTTTAATTTTATGCCACTGATCAATGCTAAATGAACAGAAGGTAAATGAAATTCACTTCATTAAAAAAGAAAGTGGCTGAAACAGAGGCCGAATACTTCCAGGTTAATGAGATCAGTGTGTCTGCTGGAGAGTCATGGGACAATGGGTAGATTTCATGGGAAGTTTGCCTATTCATAACTTTCACCAAGCTTGAACCATCTGAAAGCAAAGGCAGTGGGATTACAGTAAGCAATAAGACAATACTATCATTAAAACTTTAATTTTTAAAAATTTGCCACACAGTCTGTCATGCTTGCGTGTTGTGCAAGGAGGTTTTCTTTCCCAAAGAAATTAAATAGTACAAAATGTGAAATATCCTATAATAATTCGTAAACTGCTACCAAGGGACCACATTTAAGGGGGAGCGCTGAGTTTCCTGTGTGAGGGATTCTAAAAACTAGAAGATCTGTGCTTTTTACTCATCACCCTCATCTCTTCAGCTGTGACCCCCTTGGGCCTGGGATGCCCCTCAGGGGCCCACAGTGGGAAGACTGTGTCAACAGTGAACTTACTCTTGTGTGGTGAAATGAGTGTGTGTGTGTGTGGGGGGATCAGGAGACTCAGGGTCTAACCCTGGTCCTCACAGCAATGAAATGTATTATTTAAAGTACAGCAGCCCTGGCTGGTGTAGCTCAGTGAATCGAGCACTGGTCTGAGAACCAAACAATCGTGGTTCAATTCCCAGTCAGGGCACATGCCTGGGTTGCAGGTCAGTTCCCAGCAGGGGACGCACAAGAGGCAACCATACACTGATATTTCTCTCCCTCTCTCCTTTTCTTCTCCTCTAAAGATAAATAAAATCTTTTTTTAAAGAAAAGCATAACTTCTGAGCTTCAGTTTCCTTCTTTGTAAAATTTTCTGACTGCCCCTCACAACTCTAGTAATTATTTGATCACACTGATGTGCACGAGTGTGGTTAAAGACTACAGAAGTGACGCAGGAATGCAAGAAGCATGAATAGCAGAAGGAATTAAACAACAAAAAAAGGATGTGTTATTTAAAGGAGCAAAAAGTCTTGAATCCGATGAAGCATGAGAACAAATTTTTGAAAAATGACATGATGCAGATTAGAGGCCGAGGGTAGATATAAATATAGGTTTCCATGGTGATGAACTCTCCTAGATGATGTGAAATCTGGTATTCACAACGGTGGGCTTTTTCTGCATGAAAAGCCTACCATCTGGAACCCCAGTTACCAGGATACAGAATAAACGAGACACTGATTTGAAAATCAAAGTCAATACAGACTCGGTTTAGGCCCAGAATACAGCAAATATCATCCGGTCATCGAAGAACGGATGAGTCAACCAAGAGACCCGCCGTCCTCAGCCTCCTTCCCGCAGGTCATAGTGTCGTGGGCTTGGGATTTTAAAATAAAAATAATGCATTACTATGCTTTGCTTTCTATTTTTTAGATAACTGCTTCTAGTGATTAAAATCCCAGAACTATTTTTAGAAAGGCAAGGGCTTATTGACCGATTACATCAATTTGTCATTAAAAACAAACTGGTCTTCGGTTCAGAAGGGGGTGCAGGGGACAGAGCCAGAGAGAGATTTGAGGTTCTGAAGGAGGAGAAGGGGCCACCGCCAGGGCGTGCAGGTGGCGTCTGGAGGCTGGAAGAGGCAGTGACACACCTAATGCGGACTTTGGACCTCTGAACAGCAAGAGTATCCTTACGATCACTTAAATCATTCCAGATTTAAAGATCTTTCCAAGAAAAGCTAACATATTGGACACATCCTGTCTGTGATGAGGCTTCTCGCCCTAATGCACTGGTTCTCTGCTGAGGTGTCTCGTCTTCATGTAACACCCGTGCATGGGAACCTGTCATTTATAACATTATAGTAACATTACTCTCTC